TATTCTTTAATTGAGATGTATTAATTTAATATTATCGTTAGATATATTATTTTTATTTTCTCATATTTTCTTATTATTTCATTAATGATAATCAATCTATTATATCTTAGAATTAAAGTTACTGGTTTTTAAATATATTAAAGAAATATTAAATTAAAAAAATTAAATAAATATACTTTAATTATAAATTTTAAACTTCATTGTCCTTATCTTTTCAAAACAATTTTTAATTAATAATTATTATTAATAAAAATTAAAATCTAAAAATAAAAAATATGATACATATATTAAAATTAAAGATAAGATATTCTTTCAAATCATAATTTATTAATTTAGCATATTGCCTGTGTACGAGGTAATATTCTTCGTATAAAAATAAAATTTATACACGCATTATCAAGACGTTTAAAAAGTCGAGAGCTAGAAATTGCGTCACGCCGAAACTTTTGCCGCGAAAAAAATTCATTCCGAATTTATCAAAGTGCGCCTATGACTTCTGTGAAATTGCGACAGGTACTTAATGTGTACACAAGAAAATTGAAGTGAGTAAAGTTAAGCAGCCCTGAGTAATTTAATTTGTTTCTTTCAAATATTTCTCGATACTTTCTCCGTCTCCTTTTCCTTCTCTCCTCCTTCGCAAAGTATCTCTCAGCGAGAGAACTCGTTAACCGCGACTCGATATTAATCTTGTTACATACTTTCTTATAATAACTGGTCTTAGTCCAAGCTATTTAATTAGGATTTACACGAGGGTAACCCGAGGGCGAAATTCTTTCGCCGGAACACGCAGCGTGGAGAAATTGCGAGATTCTTTCTCGTGCGTGAATCGGGACGGAACGATGAAGCGCGATCGAAATGTCTAGATCGAAAACTTTCCGGGCGTAAAGCCCTCGCGTGACAACATCGTTCTGGGTATAACGTGTGGTTTTCCGTTGTAAAACTCGCTATCTCCATTCGACATCTATCTATAGTGACATTCGGTAACAGCGTTGGAGATGGTGAGTTTTGGAAAAATAACGACGTATTTTGCGCGACGACATTTTCTCCATTTATTCTTCAGTTGCCGATATCGGTCTTTATTAGCAATTTTAATAACAGATTGTTACCAAGCATAACGAGAATCTCACAAACCTTTCAGTTTCGATCTATCGAGCCTCGTCGTTTTTTATTGATCATAAAGCACAGGAAAAAAGAAATAAAAATTTTCGTATTGTACGAATTTGTCGATTGTTAACATCAAATCGTTTGTTAACATTATCCTTTGTTTCAAATTTTCGTGGCGAACGATCGTTTGATACGGACCAATCGGAAATGATATCCCATACATCTTGCGTAAGGTACCGCTTTATATATAGAGTCCCTCTATAGTCATGGGCTCTCTGCCATCGAATGGTCGTGCATACCGAGATGGAATTATTAGTCGGCGGGATATGCCGCGTGCAATTTCGGAATATCTTCCGCCGGCGTCCGAATGGTCGGACGACGAAGTCGAGAATCACGGGAGGGCAAGTCGAGTCCCGGGTATTATCGGGGAAAGTTTTAACGGCGCTTCATTAAGCAAAATAGTTTCATACGGCGATCGAGCGCGCGTCGGTATTTCGGGGTAGTTTGAATACGTCGATATATAGAACGATGGCGGGAGACTGGAGAGAGAAATAGAAAGAGAGAGAGAGGGACTCGCGTTTGCTAATCCGGCAGCTCGCAGCCTCGAATTGTTTCCGGGCGTAGCTAGGCGTTTGCCTGCCTAGGACAATAATCGCCGCCATTCGATGCGAAACGCTAGAGGAAATGCTCCTCGCGCGCGACAGCGCAACTGCAGAGGGCAAAAAGCGAGAGGCGGATTAATTTCGCGCTCTCCACGGATATTCCGTTGTCGTTACCGGCGAGTCGAATGCGAATGCGACTATTCGCGGTTACGAAAACCGAGTTTTGTTCAAGCAACGCGGAAGAGAAAGAGAGAAATTCGGAGTAGCAGATAGGAGATGCAGTTTTCATAGATTTGAAACATTTCTATTTAAGAAAGAAGTTCTGAGAAGAGATCATTATATACGTAATAATAATAAAAAGAAATTAAAAGAGATAGAAAGTATGAAAAGTGCAATAGATATATTGTCTTTATTATATGTACATCATAATCTCTTATTAAAGCCTAAATTATCTTAATTTTGACAAATAACGCGAACCAAGTGACACATTCCGGTCGGACTTTGAATTACTGGAGAAAGATGGGCATAAATAGGATGCCGGAGATTTGTAGCATTGGCTACGAAATAAAAAAAAAGCGTATCCGTGTCTAGCGTATTTTACTTCTGTCGTGCGTTGGCAAGCCGCGAATGCTTGACAAATGAACGTCCGACATGACAGAGATAAACTATTAGGGATACACGTATCTCGAACTAATATCTGTTTCTTTCTCTCCGAGAGAAGAAAAAAGCTTATATAACCAGATGAATTTTTGTAACGCTGGGCACGCGACGCGCAATTACCATTCGTTTAGAAAGTTACGTTACTCTTAAGTGCGAGGCGACCGGGAACATTTAACGACCGGCAATCAGGATTCCCAGAGAAGGACGCCATCGTCGCCTATTTTTTTCCAACGGCTTCTCCTCTCGCTCGCCGCTCTTTATAATTATTCGCGAAATATTTTTTTTTCTATCTTTTTCCGTCCTCCTCATTCTCGACGCCCATCCCGTCGTCGTTTGCATAAAGTGAGCTATCCGCGCTTTTAATATACGCAAATGAAGTTACGCGCCGGAACTAATCATATTTGCATGCGGAACAGCAATCTCCTTTGAGCCCTTGTCATACTTATTACTCCAGTTTAGTCGCTAGAGAAAATTTTATGACGAACAGTGTTCGCTTGCGGCGCGAGGACAATCAACGATTGATCGCCGGAAGGAGACGTTGTTTCCTATCAGCTGCTCGACGCCTTCGGCGTTTAAATCATCTCCTTACGCTTAAATTGCTTGCTCTTAAAATGATCGATAAATAATAACGGTGATGCGATTGTAGCACATATTGCTTCCACGCAAATTAATCTAAGCTACTTTGCCAAAATTTATTTCAATATCTCGAGAAGGATCGAAGAAATAAATAACAATTCGCGAGCGCGCGTCCTTGCATCACAGTACAAGTATATAAATTGTGTCCGAACGCTTGTCGTATCTTTTATCAACTATAAATTCTTCGTTCCCGTAAATCTCAGAGAGAGAGAGAGTTCTCTCAGTAAATCAACGTCCGCGGGCGATTAAAACTTTACTTGATTAAAGTTATGTCGTAACGCCGTCTCATTCATTAAGGATTAAACGAAATCGACCGCGTCTCGGATGTGATATGACAATATAAGGCAAACGTTGTCTACGCAAAGCGTAGGTTTGCGAAGCACCCCGTCGAAGAAGTCCGCAACTATATACCGGGAGACAGGAGACGTAGCATTCTTGTTGGTATATCCGGCGGAAACTTCCGGAAGCGCGACGTTTGTCGTTCCTCCGCAATCGCGTTTAATTAATTATTGATCGATCCGCCGTCGGCGTTCAATCGTGAATGCGCCTCGTCGACTGACAATGAGATGGTCGGACTATACTGACTGTAATCGAAAGAGACGTGGCTCAATAATGTGATTTATCGATCCAGCGTCGATTTGACAGCGCTATGTACTAGACTATTCGATAAATTAAAATCAGGATTCTATTAACCGTGGGCTTTGTTAAATCCAATGATTCTCAGAGTACTTTCTGCGGAATGTAGTTATTTTTTTAACAACAGCGACTGGATTTATATTTATTCAATTGTGTTTGATTCTAGAGAATGGCATCAATTTCTATTAAAAATGTGTAACGTGTAATAATAAAAATCGTCTCTTATTTATCTCTTTGTTTTTTCCTGTCAGAAATTATGAAAAGTAATGTGCATATTATTTGAAAAATAAAACAGAGAAGTTTATGGGATTATAATGAAAGCATTAGCATAGATGCAATTTACTTGAACGAAGTCATCTGGAACGCGCATAATAATGTAATAAAAGTTGGCGTGACTCTCTTACGCGACCGCGTATACGTATACACGATCGGCATGTTATTATTTTAGCATTAATATTAAATGTGCTCGAGGAAATGTGCTCGGAGATACGGGAACGTAGTTGTGACGTGAACGTAAAATTTACTATACGGGGTAGCGGAATTTCTTGGAAACCGGGAAGGAAAAAGAGATGAAATCGCAATGAGAGAAGTATATAGATCGCGCTTAATCAAATTCTTGTACGATGAAGAAATTGTTTGCTCGCGACGCTGCCATCGTCGATTCATTGTGTTTAAGCAACTCCCCTTTCCGAGAACTTGGGCGACCGATGTATTCAACGGTTGTATTATCATTGACTGCGCGATGCAGCCGCATTTCGGTCACGCACGATCGAGTATTATCGTCATCATTGGCTCTAACGGCCATTCGTGAGCAGCCGAGCATGCGGAGGGTAATCGCAGTCTGGAGAAGCGCTTACAGAATATTGCTGTCCTGAATGCCGTATCGAGAGAGAGAGAGAGAGAGAGAGAGAGAGAGAGGGAGAAAGATACACGTATCGATAACGAACCGTGTATAGATACGTAATCCGCCAAATCTGCTATTGTAAAAGAAGTGAATTGAACTATCGAATACTAATTAAAACTTTTCGTGTCCCCATTTGATCTTCTAGTTTCAATATGCTTCTCTGTGCTAGGAAAGTTAAGAGTCAATTAAAATCGAGCGGTTATTTTATCAATATATTAAGCTAGTGATTATCGCATTAAGATGAGATATCTCCTTAATCTTAAATCGCTTATTAAAAATCTGAGGGAGAAAGCTTCTGCTTTGATTGACCTACTAACTTAATAATGAACATGATTTAGCGTCTTATTAATCTACTAACTTAAGTTGAGTTTCGAAAAACATGTTAAATATTAAGCCTGTTAACTCACCTATTCACTAACCGTACTAACGCTCTTCTTCTTTTCTCTCTTTGCTTCCAGGCTTCGTAACGATCCCGCGAAGAATCCCGCTAGTAACGCAAAAATGTATCCCTGACTAAATCGCGCCACGAACTTCGATCTACGACCGATCGTAGCGCGGTCGTCCCGAAACGATCATGCGAATCTCCGAAAATGCGCAGGACCAACAGCAACGGTCTCAAGCTCGACCTGACGGAGAACACGCCAGGTAGCTCGTTGTCGCGGCTGCCGAATTTGGTCGAGCATGCGGAGACCTGTCAGGCGTTGTCCGCCGGAACTGGTGAGAATTTGAGCAGCAAGTTGCCTAACGTGGTCGAGGGCTCGATGGACTATGGTAGCGAGCGTAGGTCCTCCCGTTACCTGGAGTACCAAGAGATCAAGTCCTATCAGGATCCCCAGTCGTCTGCCTCGGCGGCGCCGGCCTATCACGAGGGGGCCTATCACGACCAATCGAGGGGATACCGGAACTACGATCGAAAGGCCGGGGTCGGCTTCGATCGGGATAACCTCGAGAGGTTCGACAACAGGATCTATCCGGAGGACGGGCTGAGATACGCCGATCGTCGCGTGGATCAGCGAACCTACCAGGAATCGGATCTGGACGCGCCTTACGATCGTAACGACGCGCAGAAGCTCAGCAGGGCTTATCCGGAGCTTTCGGACTCGAGCAGACGATACTCGCGCGATCTGACCGATTACGAGTACGCGTCGCGTTATGCCGAGGAGACATTGAAGCTGGAGCCCAAGAAGGATCACCATCATCATCATCATCCGGGTAAGATCTACGAGCCGGCCGTCTCGAAGGGTTACGAGTCAGGTGTCAAGACTCACGATTCTGCTTACGATCTCGGTACCTGTTCCGGACAGCAAGAACCACCAGCCAGACAATATGAGAGCAAGTATCACTCGGTCAGCAAGATGTACGGCACTCTGCCTAGATACGAGAGTACCAAGTCGTACGAGCCGACGTACGAGTCGAGGCCTACCTACGAGCCCAAGTACGACGAGCAGACGTACGAGGGCGGAAGTAAGGCCGGTTACGAGTCCAAGTACGGGTTAACGAGTTCCAAGAGCTACGAGAGGTCCAAGTACGAGAGTACCACGTCAGCCAGGTACCAGGACAAGTCTTACGATCAGACTCTGAAGATTGGCGAGCTGGGCTCGTCCTCGTCCGGTGCCTACGTCAGGAAGCATCAGGATCAGGAGGAGACTGGCGCCGAGAAGATGAACGGATACAGAAAAAGTAATTTCGAAGCCTACGGGGTCTATTCGGATCCTGAGGACGATCACGGCTTCTTGCCGGATAAAAAGACCCCTCAGTACACTTACAAGGGCGTCGTGGTGAATGCTAGCGGTGAGTCCGCAGTGGTCGATCAGAAACGGTCCAAGGATATCAGACAAACCGAGGTGATCAGAAGTCCTTGGTGCAGACCGACTATATTGCTGCTCCTGCTGGTGCTCCTGGTCGTCATCTTCGTCTTCGTCGCTGGGATATTATTGTATTTTAATTGTGAGTTTGCATCATTACTTCTCGAATTACGAATTTCTTTTTTTTTTTTTTCGAAAAGTTTTCACATTTTATTTCTCACGTTTGATTTATGAGAAACATTTTTTTCACATTTTTGTACGAGTAAAAATAATGGATATTTTTTACAGAAATGCATTTGGGCGTAAAAATGTTTTCTATGGATCTTTTTTACAATAGTAATTTTTTTATAAGTTTAGTTTTTACATTTTGAATGTTGCATGCAACGTTTATCAAAGTTTCTGTGCCAACGTAAATTGGAAAATTTATTTAAAAATTCATTCTTTTCGAAGCATTTAATTTAATATTATAAATGGCTCATATATTTGTATTTCTATCATAATTAATTACGGAGAAAATATATAACTGTTTTTTTTGCAAATCCGCTAAACTAATTCTTTGAATCTTTAATGAGAAATTTAAGTATCATTATTTTAAGACTTAAAAGTAAGTTTCTTTGTCCGATCTATACCGTCGAACGGATAGTCGATTCAATTAAAGTTAATTTTCCGACAATGACTAATTAAAGGTAACGGACCGATAACGAACCGTGATGAGACATTGAACAGTTAAGACAAAGAGTCACTTCTAATAAACGTCTCGCGTTATATCTTTCTTCGTTCACCGCCTGCTAATAAGACATGCCATTTATCGTTATATAGGATACCCTAGCTGCCGTACGTTTATCCCCAACTACAAGACAAACACTGATTTTTCCTTTTCAAGAAAATAGATAAGAGAATTTAATTCTTGTAAATACCTTAAATTTTTATAAAAATTTGTTCTAAATTAAACATGGAAAATTATAATCTCTTCGAATCTTAATTTTTCAAAATCTTTAATATACTGCATGTGATAAATATTTAAATATTTTTTTCCATTTCATCTCTTTTAGCTTTCAATTAATTATTAAAAAAAAAATAGACCACTGAAAGTACTACCCCCAACCCCTGCGCGAAGATTTATTTATCTCTTTCGGGACATCCTATATTGCATTCTGCGCATTTTATTGTCACATTACAGCGCTCGTGAGCCGACTCGCCGATAACGGCCTGGCGTTTTAGTTAATGAGCATCCGATACCAATTATTTACGGGCGTCCGCGCGTTTGCCATAGTAATGGCTATGGTAGCGCAAGGCTAGACGAGGGCCGCCGCCGACGACGACGACCACGACGATACCGATGCCGAAAACGGTGACGGTGACACGTGCCGACGATACGTTAAGCCGGAACGGTTACTGTCTCTGCGGCAGTTTTATGTGTCGAATTTGACATGCCGGGCACGTAGGGACTTGCCACTAGCGAAACTGTTCGGTCGGAATTACAATGCGACCGGTGGATGGAAGGCGGACCAGTGGGTTTAAGGAAAATAGGTAGAAAAGAATGACGGACCTCGCGTCCGGACGGGCCAATCTGTTTTCGCTTCATGCACGATCGTGTTTGTTGAGGACGAATGGCAACAGGAAGGAACGCAAAATCATCTTACCGGGATAAGGCTAGCGCAATCCTGCATGATCTAATATGGTAACATATATGAAAGAAGAATAAAATCTCGCAAATTCGTCCTATATAAACTCTGATGTTTGCAAAATAGCAGTTCAGCCGATGAACGTTGATAATAAAAATTAATTATAAAAATATTCGCGCAACGAATTTTAGATATAATTGCCAGAAGGGTTCCATTAATTAAATAATAATGTATTGTTGCGTTTAGCTAGGAAAAAATAAATTCAAGTATACTCTGTTTAGTTTATCGTGTAATGCACGGAAACTAATTGAACAACTTTGACAATTCGCGCGCGGAATATTATTTTCCAAAGTCGTTAATGGATCCTGTTAAATAATTTTTTGCGAAGGAAAACATTTAGAACGCAGCGAGCGCGTATGTTAACGTAACATTGGGCAACAGACATTTTTAGATATCCGCGAAGCGAAACAAAAATAGGATATTCCGCGCTGTATGAAATATTGCGATAAATACCGCCGTGAAAACGTGTGCAGAAGTACTTTTCTGCTTACGCGGTTATAAACACGGTTAAGCCCTATATCAAAACCCTTCCCCACAGATAAGCTTGTTACAGGATAACGTATGAAATCATATTCTCTTCTATGGTAGAGTCGACTGTCTCATAGTTTGCATAGATGGTTTATTTCCAATTATTCCAGAGAGTTATAAACTGCAGTGAGTTATAAAGCAAATATTTTGTAAATTTAAATTTTATACAACATTATATATTCATCTTTTGTAATGTAAAATATTAAAAAATGAATCAATGATCAAATAATTATGCATTTACATTTTATTTTTGTAAAAAATATATTTTTTTCTTGTATATCTGACATACTATAATAGTCATTGGTTGATGTTTCATGAGAAAAATATTACAAGAACAAGAGTAATTTTTTATATACACTTGACACACGTTAATTCGTTATTTAAGTATATATATGTAGCTTATTTATGTAAAAAACGTTTGCATTAAACGTGAGAAAATTACATGTTCAAGCTATATCCTTGCTAATAAAATAACTTCACCGTAAAGATTTATCCGCTCTTTCTTTATAATCCGTGGGTCACGAGTTAGATATATGTGAGAAATAATCCACTCCATCCTTCAACGACGCTCCTAAAGAAGCGTATCTCTTTTTTTCATTCGCGATTGAAATTTATTTTCTTCCAACACGTATGTATGTTTATTAGAAACGAAAAGGAAAATGAACAAAAAAAGATTCTACAGCAAGATGGAAGTAAAGGGAAACGGTTTGCTTACACGAAATTAATTTTCAGTATAGCAAATCTAACAAAACAAATAATTTTTTTTTTTTAAAACGTTATTATAATTTTCATATTTTGTATATATTCAATATAAAAATAAATATAATAAAATTTTCTCAAAATTTTAAAACATACAGATATAATTAAGAATAACAATATTTCTTTTACCCTAATTTTTTTCTAATTTTCTTTCTAATATAAAAAATGCTGTGTAAAGATTCTTTCATTTAAAAAATGCAACTCTCATTCTTCAAGAGCTTACATAATAATCGTACAGATTCCACGTTGCAAGTTTACCCCGTGGATCACACTGATAATCTCTTCGCGTCTACCTCTTTGAACATTTTTCTATATTCGCCGCTGCTTTCTCGTGGCGTTTATGACACACCGTAACGTGTTTAGAGGCTTCCATCGCGCCTGCGAAGAATATAAACCGTCTCATTGCGATCGAGCGGATTCAGTCGTCTGGGAGAAACTGGCACGGGTTTTCGTGCACGCTCCGATCGTATTTACAATCGCGCCGGGAAGCAGTTCGACCGTATTTACAATCGAGCGGAAAAGTAGTCCGTGCATTATTACCGAGAAAGTAAAACTAAACTGCCGCACTCCGCGTTCTGGGCATAATATTCGATATAGATACTCCATTTTTGCCCGACCTACAGAATGTTGCCGTCTGAAAATAACCGCCCTTGTATTTTACGTTAGCAGACTTTTACGGTCCACCTCGTTTTTTTTTTTTCATTCTTCGCGCTTTTCCAGGGAAATCGATTAGCGAATTTGGAAGCGATCTCTTTAACGAAAAGCTTTTCTCGCGCGACATCATCTTACTATTATTTATAATATTTTATATGGCACATTATATTTTTTAAAATTATTATTTATAATATATATATATATATATATATACATATATATATATATTTTATAGGTACGTATAATAAATGGAATGACATATATAGGACAAGACCAAAAAAATTCATTATAAATGTAGCACCCTTAAAGTCGCTGAGCAATTGACAATTTAAGCGTTATCTAAAGCTAGTTCAAGAGAGGTGAGTGTGAGCGAATTCTCTTTTGCAAATCACCGTGATTCACCGTCGCGGGAGCCACTTTTTCCTGCGAATGTCTGCTTTTCCGAGCGACAGCGTCAGGATCGACGTTTCAGCTGCGATGGCACGACAATAGGGTCGAGAGGAAGAATCGTCCGAGTGCATAGAGGATGTCTGTCCACACCGCCCGAAAATTCCAGCCATCAGATTCTTCGAACGTTTCAAAGTAGGAACGACTTCTCGGTCATTTAATGAAAATTCAATAAACGATACATCACGTGTCGCAACATTTTTGTATCGAATATCGAATCGAGATTTAAAGACAAATTAAACGTGAAATTTTTATTCATTCGAATTGCAGAATAATTTTGAAATGTTATCTCTGAACGAAGCTAATATGAAATATTCTCTGTGATCGAATAATAATCTCACAAATTTAATTCTCGTCGATGAAAAATTCAGGGAAAGTAATACGAAAGAAAGAAAAAAATGGAAAAATACTGTTATTACATGTTAAAGCCATCTCATGTACGCGGATACATCCGGGAGCGAGGCAAAACATCCTGGGTACCAAAGTCTCGGTCTTCCCTTCCTCCGTGTATATTCCGTACGACTGCGTTTGGCAGCGGTCGACCGAGGCGTTCGAGCGATTCGGTTTATTTTCGGGTCAAGTTTTCGCCCGGCCGCTTCGCAATCAGCCGCCGCATTGTCCCGCGGACAATACATTCACTGCGACGGAATCCCGGCGCGCGTAGGAATTCCGGATGCTATCGTCCTCCCGCGCCCGGTTTGTCGACCGTCATGTTTTCCCCGGAATTTTCGGAAATTCGATTTGGATGCCGGGGCGCAACCGTTCGCCGTTTGTAATGCTCCGTCCGTAACGGCTCCAGTTTCATTGTGCTTCCATTGTGCTGAGTGGCGAATCGTCGCAAGGCAAATTGTCGGGAAGGGACAGAGTCGAGACGGAAAATTGAGTAACTCTGCGAAAATAGAACGAGTGTTTTTAATTTTTCATCGAAACCCCCGATGTGAATCCTCGGAGGAGTCTGCATGTGACAGTTTTGCAACGGGACGTTCTATATATATATATATATATATATATATATATATATATATAAATAAATATATATAAAAATATATATAATATATAATATATATAT